GGGTAGGGGCTGGCGGGAGGGGGGGTCGGGGTGAGGGTGGGGTAAAAAAATAAAAAAATTGAAGTTGAAAAATATTTTTAAAAAATAAGCTTTAAATTTATTTTTTCATAATTTTTTTTTAATGTTTCAACAAAAAAAATAGTAATTTGAAGGAAAGTTTAGAAAAATGTTTTGCTTAATTTTGAAGGAAATTCATTTTCCTTAAATTTGAGCAAAATGAGTTGATTTGGAAAAATTTCCTTCATACCAAACACACCCTTAGTATTACTCAGAAAAGAGTCAAGATTAATTAATGATAATATAAGAAGTTTACAAATATGATATATCATGAGTTTTAATTTTCTGGAACAAAGCTAACATAATGTGAAGTGAAAACGTAAGATGGTCACATCAAGAAGAGACTTATGGGACAAGCATTTGTGAAAACTGTGAACTAATGTATATAGTGGGTGACCCAACTTGTACAGGGAAATTAATCTACACTTTGCCCTATAATATAAGCTGACCTTCATGCCCAATCAAAACCTATTCTTCCAAACCTCAAACTACCCTCTCCCTTTTCTCCTGTGTATTTCCTCTATCCCAATTTATACGACTCACTTTCTTTTTTAGTCGGTCTCCAAAAGAATGACAAATTTATTTATTTAGTAACAATTTATTGTCCTTAATGAAAGCCACACAAGCATTTATGACTTATTTTATACCACAAGTTTCGAAAGTCCTTTTATAAACTCTGTTCGAAATCAAACTACATCACATAAATTGAGACGGAGAGTAATATAATAAGTCTCAACTCTCAAATCTTTACTGCTTGCATGCGTTTTCTGTTACTTGACAGAATTTAAGAACAGAAACACAATGGATCATGCCTGCAATAGAATTGCAAACACTTTGTGTTATTTCTTCTTCATAGCCATTTTGCTTGTCTTCATAAATGCAAGTACTGCAGAAACACACTACCATGATTTCGTTGTATGCCTTTCTCGTGTCCGTTAATCTCTTTATTTCTTTCTAATTAACATTTTGAGATTTTAATTATAATTGGAAGATGATGAGCTTGGCTACCTTCACCTTCCCCATTTCACTTTGTTTGAACTATGTTGTTATGGAACAGATTCAAGCAACACCAGTAAAGAGGCTGTGCAAGATCCATAACACTATAACAGTGAATGGACAATTCCCTGGACCAACATTGGAAGTGAACAACGGTGATACTTTAGTCATCAACGTAGTCAACAGAGCTCGATATAATGTCACCATTCACTGGTAAGTTCAGAATGCAAATGAACTTATAACATGTGAATATAAATGATGGATTTAACTTCAGACAATATCAAATCCGATACTATCATGTTACCTAGATGATAATTACAGGTAATCGTTCCATAAAACTAGACATAGTAACTTGAAAAATACTTTTTTGTTGTATTTGGAAAGGCATGGAATCAAGCAAATAAGAACAGCATGGGCAGATGGACCAGAATTTATAACACAATGTCCAATTAGACCAGGAGGGAGTTACACTTACCGCTTCACAATTCAAGGACAGGAAGGCACACTTTGGTGGCACGCTCACAGCTCATGGCTCAGGGCCACTGTTTACGGAGCATTAATCATCTACCCAAAAGAAGGAGAATTCTACCCATTTTCTAAGCCTAAAAGAGAGACACCTATTCTGCTTGGTACTGATTCCTTCCCATTTTCAATTGAACACTTGAAAATAATTGAAAATGATACCTACTACATGAGCAGTTACTCATTGAAGTAATGGTTTGGCATTTTGTGATTAGGTGAGTGGTGGGATGCAAATCCTATTGACGTTGTAAGACAAGCCACGAGAACAGGAGCAGCTCCTAATGTATCAGATGCTTACACCATTAATGGTCAACCGGGTGATCTCTACAGGTGTTCGAGTAAAGGTAAGTTCCAATCTATGATGAACATTCAAGATATAATTTGAGTTATATAAATTGATAGCGTTAAGAAATTTTACACTGCTTGTGTAGTTAAAGTGACTTGACACTGGCGAAAACATTTCATACATTGTTAGTGCATAGAAATTTAACTCTTGAATATATACCAAACAACATACCTCCTATGATAGTCAACAAATAGCATGTGTATTTACTAATGCTAAACAATGGCATATATGTATATCACCGTATATAATAAGGGTCGCTTGTTTAAACTAACTAGTTCATCCAAACATTCATTAGTTTGGATGCAGAGTAACATGTTCAGCTATCATGTTTTCATAGAAATCATCTAGTTGGATTCACCTTTATGCAGATACTACCGTAGTCATTGTGGACTCTGGTGAAACAAACCTCCTTCGAGTTATCAATGCTGCACTCAACCAGGCACTTTTCTTTGCTGTGGCAAACCACAAGCTAACAGTTGTTGCAGCAGACGCTTCTTATGTTCAACCCTTCACTACATCAGTGCTTATGCTAGGTCCTGGCCAGACTACTGATGTCCTAATCGATGGTAACCAGCCACCAGGCAGATACTACATAGCTGTACGAGCTTACGCAAGTGCTCAAGGACCTTTTGACAACACCACTTCCACAGCTATTCTTGAATACAAGGATACTCCTTGTTCTGTTCAGGGCATCAAGATCAATCCAATTTTTCCATCTTTACCAGCATTTAATGACACTGCCACTGCCACGACCTTCTCAACTAGTTTCAGAAGCCCAAGACAAGTGGAGGTGCCAACTGAAATTGACGAAAATTTGTTCTTCACGGTTGGACTAGGACTCAACAACTGCCCTAGAGGTGTGTTGGACTATAAAAATAATCTCTTCATAAGTTAGTTATATATCTATAAGACACAAAGAGGATGAAAATGAAAATAAAACTATAAAGCACACTGCTATAGTATAACGAAAGACTCTACTTTAACAAAATGACACAATATAATCACATTTATATCGCTACTACATCACTCACCAAGGGGTGTGGTGGGATGGATGAGATTTAACTTATTAGTACTATACTACTTAAAATTCTCGAATGACTCAAAAACATAAATTGGCTAACTAGAAAGACGAATGAACGAAGAACTTGATCTACTTTGTAACATTTAACCTTTATTTCTAACCAGGTTCAAGCTCCAGGAGTTGTCAAGGTCCAAATGGAACTCGATTCACCGCCAGTATGAATAATATGTCTTTTGTGCTACCACCCAACTTTTCCATTCTGCAAGCACATCACCAAGGGATACCTGGAGTTTTCTCAACTGATTTCCCAGCGGTTCCACCACTGAAATTCGATTACACTGGTAATGTAAGTCGATCACTCTGGCAACCTATTCGAGGAACTAAAGTTTACAAGCTAAAATATGGGGCAAGAGTGCAAGTTGTTTTACAAGGAACAAGCATCGTCACAGGTGAAAATCACCCGATCCATCTTCATGGATATGATTTTTACATTATCGCGGAGGGCTTTGGGAACTTTAATCCTCAAACTGATACAGCTAAATTCAACCTTGTTGATCCACCTACCCGAAACACAGCAAGTGTACCTGTCAATGGATGGTCAGTTATCAGATTTGTTGCTAACAATCCAGGTGAGAAAAAAAAACATTTATATTCTTACAAAATAAGTTTTATACAGAGTAATTGATAATCTGATAAAATGTTACTCCAACGAACATGCTATAATAGGTTAAATTACACTGATAGCGTAAAACATCCTTATACTATCCGCATACATAACATAAAATTCTTTTTTATTGAGCTTTTGGACTAAACATTTGTTTTTGTTAGGAGTCTGGTTAATGCATTGTCACCTGGATGTTCATATTACATGGGGTTTGGCCATGTCATTCCTGGTGGAAAATGGAGTTAGTGAATTGGAATCATTAGAAGAGCCTCCGGTCGATTTGCCTGTTTGTTGACAAACACAATATGCACAATGATTCAATGAAACATAACTTACATAATTTTTTGATGATTGAGTAAATATGAAATGACACCAATTCTTGCAATATATGTATATAGGCAATACATAAACATGGCCCTTAACTTGGCTTAAACATGCAACTATGACATGTAACTTTGGGTGTGCACAAGTAGATACTTAAACTTGTATAAAATTGAACAAATAGACACATTTGTCCTACATCGCGTCCTGCATGGCAATTTTGTGTCCGACATGGTATCCTATAGGGATTTTGTGTAGTTTTTTTGCTTAAAATCTTGATTCTCACGCTATAGCGATAACTTACATCACTATAGCGATCTGAGCGTCGCTATAATGGGAGGCCATCTGCTATAGCGAGATCGACGGATGATCTATGGCTCAACATCTGAAAATGGACCCCTTTTTACAACACAACTTCTTCCCTTGACGTCCCGACACATACCTTTCATGCAGTGGCGGATCCAGGATCTTAGGCTCGTGGGTTCTCATTTCTCTTATTATAAAGTTACCGTAAATCGTATTGTATAATTGTATATTGTACAACTATTTAAATGTTATAGTTAAAAACTCTTCATGAAGTCCAAATTTTCCTAGCTTCTCTTACCAATTACAACTAATAGTTCACTCTTGCAAGCACCCTCATTTATTTTATGTTAAAGAAATGAGCACTACACAACCATTAAAAAATTCATCACCTATACTATTACGAAGTTCATTTTTTATGTACTTCAGGATGAAAAAGCTCGTTCCACAAAAACAGTAGCAACACGAAGAATGAGAGTCAACTTGATAAGCAAATAAGCAAGTAGCCAAATTTGATACAAATTTGACTTCACCAATACTTTAGCAAAGTCACTAATTCCCTTCAAGTTAAAGAACCTCTTTCAGAATTACGAGCATAAATTATAAAATTATCAAGTTGGCGACTGAGATCTCGAAGCTTATGTCTATCAAACTCATTCATATAATACTCAGTCAACCTCATTATCATGTTCTTATCAAAACCACCAAATGAACTAACTAGATTCAAGCTAGCCATTCCAAGAAGTAAGTAGTCTACTCACAACATTAAAACAGTTATTAAACTCTTGAAGATGCAAATTAATAAAGACATGACAAATCTTAACGCGCAAATGATCGATGAGAATATATAACATCAAGAGAATTACGCTTGGACTTTCCTGGAAAGTAGCTACCATTCATGAAAATGTAACATCAAGAAGGGCTAATTGCCGCTAAAAATACACATTTAGCAGTAATTAAGTTATTATCGTTAATTAATTGTCGCTAAAGATTATTTTTGTTTTGTATCTATACATATTGATACATAATTTGCAAATAAAATTTTAAAATGTTATATCATATGTTCATAACTCACGAGTCAGGCAAATCACTCTTTGGTAGGGGTGGGCAAAAGCAGTCCAAATATTCATGATCCGTCTAATTCATTTATGTTTGGATAAGTTAATAATCCACTTATTTTATTATATGGACTCATTTGATCTGTTTGTCTCATCCCATTTTAAATTTGGGCTAATATAATGCAATTCAAATTGATTCATGAGAAATTACAAATTTCTTTTTTAAAACATTCAAGTAAAATTTCTCATGAATCAATTTGAAATGCATTTTAAATGATATTATAAATAATAATTTGTTTTATGTACAAGAAAATACATGATGTGAACGAGGGATATGTTTCTAAAGATTACTAAGGCTTCATTAATTAATTTTCAAGAATGAGTTCTAACTTCCAACCTAAATTATATAGTGTGGTCAAATCCAGCTAACAAAAGACTATGGAAGAACATTTATGAATGTCGTAAAAGGTTGAGATCTAATTGTGAGAAAAATGTATAATTTATGGGGGGGAAAAATTGGGCTGCTGGCGAGATTCGATCCCTCGACCTAGCAGCCCCGCACGCATGACTTAAGATTTGGCCCTGAACAAAAGCACCCATCAGTTGTTCAAAATTCAATGGATGCTATTGTGTATTTTATATTATTTTTGCAGATTTTCTATATAAATATACAAAAATTATGTCGGGGTTAATGGGTGCTCTAGCACCTGGCACGCCCCACGTAGATCCGCCCAATTTCACGCCAAATTCAATTTTGGGAGTTCTACTTACCCGAAGTTGATTCCCAAAAGGCCTTATAGATCCATTAATGTCTTGGCTACAAGTATACATCATTCAAATCTCAAAGCAAGACCCCATCCTTTCCCGAATGGACTTAGACCTCACCTAGTCCAGATTCCATCTAAGGCTGTCCTAGCTAAGAATTTTTTAAGTTACTACACGGATAATTTTTTGACCCAAATTCTTTCCGACCTACTCTTAACGATCGGATCAGGTTGTTACATTTCTCATCCAACATCTTTGAATTTCTTCATCTAGCAAGATTGTCACCTTTGGTCTACTATGAATGGAGCATATTTCTTTACATGTGTCACATCACATGTATAAAAAATATTAGAGAAATAATGATTTATTAGTAATCTCGTTGTTTAAATAAAAAATAGTAAATGTGAAAATAAAAACATATCTATAATTCATTAGGAAAATAGTTTTTTTTATATCGTGCAAGAACCTCATGTTAAAGTTTATATTGGGTTCTAATTATTGGTTGAAAAAAATGTTTGTGATCATCAGCTACCTAAATAGTAGGAAATTAGAATCATTGTGCAACTCAAAATTCAAAAAATAATGCACCCCACCAATAAAAAAAATGCAATAAAACTAAAAAAAATCTCAGTTAAAATATAAATAAATCCGTTTAACCACCATAGGAGACAAAAACTGAGTAGTATTTATTTCTTGTGAGAGCGTGTGTTCATGGTATCTGATAGTGGGTTGGATTTTAATTTTAAAATAAATCAAATCCTTAGTTGTATTGGTACAAATTCTTAGTGATCATATCGAGTTAAGAAAGTTGTTTTCGAAATTGATGAAATAAAAGGGATTACTTGAATGCATAACTGTTAGGGGTAGTTGAGTAATTGTACAGTTAGTTAGTTAGATATTTTGTTAGTTAGTTATGAGTGAACAATGAGTTGTCTAGAAGTGTATAAATAGCATGTACTGTAAACGTTTGTCATTCGAAGCTTCTGGAATATATCATCTTCTTCTTTCTCTTTACTTTTATATTGATCATTGATGAATAATTCTAGTCATTGTATATGTATTCTATTATGGTATCAGAGCATTGATCAAAATTGTGATTTCAGTTTATCCTAGATTGCGGATCGACAATGGCTAAGTTCGATCATAATCATGCTTTGTTTCTTCATCCTTCTGATACTATTGGAGCTTCGATCATATCGATGCAGCTATCAGGATATGACAATTACTTTGTATGGAGCAGGGCCATGAAGATTCAGTTGCTTGGAAAGAACAAGCTAGGAATTGTAGATGGAACCTGGAAGAAAGACGATTTTGGAGCAGATCTAAGTCATCAATGGGATCAATGTAATGTTGTTGTACAGGGGTGGATCATGAGCTCAGTAATTCCAGAATTACACACATGAATCGTATATGCTACGAGTGCAAAGGCAGTTTGGGATGATTTACGTGAGCGTTTCAATAAGGTGAATGTTTCTCGAATTTATCAATTGCATAAGGAAAAAACATAACTGGTTTAGTGCAAGGAAGTGATAGTATTCCTATTTATTTTTCGAAATTGCAAAATCTTTGGGATGAGTTTTCCAGTATTGTTCTTCCACCATGTGACTGTCCTAGATCTAAGGATTTTTGTGCTAACATGTTGAGACAGAAGTTGATGCAGTTTTTAATGGGGATGAATGCGATGTATGATCAATCGAGAAGTCAGATTTTGATGACTGAACCTACTCCTAGTCTAAATAAAGCATATGCAATGCTTATTGAGCGAGAAAGCCAAAGAAGTTTGGGTAGTTCATCTATCAATTCTATTAGTGAGGAAAATATAGATCTAGCAACACTCATGACAAGGAGAAGTGATAATTCTCAACATTATAGGGGAGCAGGTCAACAATATTCAGGACAAGAGTACCAGAAAGGGAAGAAGAATTGGGATCAACAGTGTGATTATTGCAAGGTAAAGGGACATATGAAGAAGAATTGTCTTAAGCTAATAGGCTATCCAACTGACTGGAAATTTAAGAAGAAGGAGAACTTGAATACTGCTTACAATGTTCAAGTTGAGAATACACAACAAAACATGTCATCTAGAACCAGGAACATATGAGAAATACTGGACAAGATGGCAGCTGGAGAACTTCAAAGGGCTCCTCACTTGACAGATGCACAACATGACAACATTTTGGGTATGCTCAATAATGACTATTCACAACATGGTATGATAGCTAATATGGCAGGACACACTCCTATAGCTAAAATAAAAGATTTAAAGTGGATAGTTGATAATGGAGCAACTAATCACATGTCTTCTAGCTCGTCTAATTTAACTGATGTGAAATTAGTTAAATCAAATTATAATACGAAAGTACATTTTCCAAATGGAGGAGTTACATTAGTTACACACTGGAAGTAGCAAAATTATTGACACAGGAGAGCTGAAAGATGTTCTATTTGTCCCTGATTTCCAGTATAATTTGTTGTCAGTATCAAAGTTAACTAGAGAGTTTCATTCTTTTGTGTCCTTCTATCCTGGATTTTGCTTATTCCAGGACTTTTCGATTGGGAAGCTAAGTGGAATGGTAAGGAGTATGATGGGCTTTATTGGATGGTGCCACATAATTCACAAAAGACTGAAAGTACTCAAGGTGTGGATTCAAAAGGGTTCACAATTCATGATGATAAAAGAGATATCATGTTATGGTATAGAAGATTAGCTCATTCCTCAATAAAGCCAGAAAAAGATGTTTGTAGGCATACAATAGATGCTTGTAAGTCTATTGTAGACAATTGTGAAATATGTCCATTGGCTAAACATACTAGGCTTCCTTTTACAAACAATGATACTAGATCAGATAGAGCTTTTGCTTTGTTGCATTTGGATGTGTGGGGTCCCTACAATACTCAGACTTTTGATGGCAACAAATACTTTCTTACATTACTCAAGAATCAATT